TATTAGCATATTCATATCATGACATTAACTTGGATTTATTGCGAAGATAAATTTTTGCTACCAAACCATTTAACAATGTAAATATTATTATAAAGATATAGTATTTACATATGTATGTATGTACATATTTATATATAGAGATATATGTATGTATGTATAAGTATGGGTTAGCATGCAGCAATATGCATGAGCCTTTCTAACATTTAATCTTATAATTTATATATTTACAAATATACAATTTGCAATCATATATTAGAAATGAGCAGTGACTACAGCTGTAAATCATGCAAATAAGGTGAAAGATAACAATCGCGTATTATTAATTACTTGTTGAACAAACATAAATATTTCACAGCGCAGTTTATTTTCGAACGAAACCGTGGATATTTAAAAAAAGTGCAAATAGAAGAAATAACAAATGCCTGTGACTGGGAAAACACATGGTATTCAAAAGATTTTGTCACTTTAAAAAAAAAAATAAGAAAAAAAAATAGTTTGTCGCTTAAGTCTTTCTCAGCGACGGCATCGCAACAAAAATCGCGGGCGACGAAATGAAGAACAACAGCGCAGCACAGTAGCTTAATGGTTAGTGGAAATAAAAGAATTGCATGCATTAAAAATGACAGAGATTGCGACAGAAAGGCGAACATTTTTAAATTAAACGCGATCATATTTATTTATGTTCATGCGGCGGCGTCAGCGTCAAGCGCACAGCTGCGCACGAAATTCAGAAATTCAATGCAAATTATGACGCCGCGTCTATTTAGCGCATGCGCGCTTTTTGCTTTGCTTAATTGATTGAATCAAATACATTTTTTTATTGTCTTTTATTTATATTTTTGATTTCATAGCAGTTTGTTAGACATTTTATTGGCAAGCTTATCTTGTAGCTGCCTCGTTTACTGCCGCCACTTGACTATTGGAAAATCATTTCGAATCGTTCAAATACCAAGTATGTCATTTATAAAATGGCTGTAATGCCGGCGATGTTTAAAATGGCTACGAAATGTGTGCTTTAATGAATTAATTGCTGGAACTGAACACATAAATGTGACATATACTTATATATATGTACAATATATGTTTATATATGGCCACAGTTGGTCGGCATTAAAGTAGTCAGTTAGGCAACTGGTTGTTGTGGCTTTTTAATTACCATAATTGGCAGTAAATCCACTAGTAGGCTGGCGATTATCAATAACAGCTGGTGTGTGTACATTGTTGTTGTTAGTTTATGTTTGTAAAAAGCTCAACTTAAGCGTGATGAACGAGTCGTTATGAAAGTTTAGGTAATGAATGTACATATATTATAGTTTAATTGTATATATGTGGGATGCTTTGTTTGTTTTTTCTAAAATCGTTAATGACATAGTCTTATTATTCTAACATCATTTTTAAATCTGATATACATACCTCTAAGTCTATATCCATTAAAAATCTAATAAGTAAATAGTTTCCAACTTATTTTGTTGTAGTTCATTATGATATAAGCTTTTATATCAATTTTATAAATTTTAATTTTAAATAAAAATGAGGTTAAGCGTGAAGCTAACACTCAACTACTATTCGCAGCACCATCACCCATCTTAAGACTCAGCATTCATTATTGGATAATATTCTGTCGAATAGACCACGTCCAGCACGTAGTAAAGAAAATATAACGGCCGTGGCAGAGAGTGTACACTGGAAAGTTGATTCGGCGCCTTTCGCAGCAACCCGGACTGACGTATGCAGCTTGTGCAAGATTTGATGTCGCTCAACTTTCCCAAGCGACATCGCCTCGCACTATCAAGAAGATCTGAAATTTTCAAGCCAAATTTTGTTTAGCGATGAGGCCTATTTCTGGCTCAATAGGTATGTAAATAAGCAAAATTGCCTGAAATCGAAGCTCGTGATCTGGGTGACATTTGGTTTCAACAAGACAGCGATACTTCCCACACATCGTATAAATCAATGGATTTATTGAGAGAACACTTCGGTGAGCAGATAATTTCACGTTTCGGGCCGGTCGATTAGCCTCAAAGATCGTTTGATATCACACCGTTAGAGTTTTTCCTGTGTCAATATGCAAAGTCTAAAGTCTATGCGAACAATCCCGCTTCGATTCAGCAATGGGAGCAAAACATCACGCGTGTCATTCGCCAGTTACCAGTCGATATGCTTGAACGAGTCATCGAAATTGGACTCAGCGGGTGGACCATCTGAGACGTAGCCGCCGCCAACATTTGAATATAAAATGAATGCCAAAAAATGTTCTTTCGAATGATAATAAACATTACTCATTAAATTTGAAATTTCTGTGTTTTTTTTTAAGTAGGGAACCTCGAAATGGATCACCCTATATACCGTTCAATGTTTTATCGGAATGGTGTGCTGTATTATGAGCTTCTGACCCCGATAAAACCATTGATGAGGAACGCTACCCACTGCAACTCAACAAATTGAAGCGAATGATTGCCAAAAAAAGCTCGGCCTAGACACGAGGCAATACTTTTTCATTATGACAACGCTTGGCCTCATGTCGTAAGATTGGTTGGAAACTATTTGAAAAATAAATACAACAAATTTCTCCTCCCACCTTATAGCTTAGAACTTGTCCGTTCTGACCACCATTTCTTCAAGTCGATACAGGACGTCTTCACTGGTATGCGGTTCACTATTAGAAAAGTGATTAAATTTTATCTTGATTCATTTTTTTCCACCAAGCCGGCGCAGTTCCTTTGGGGGTTGAATCCACTAATTTCCAGATGGAAAATTGTATAGCTTCAGATGGGCAATACTTTTTAACAGCAATTTTGTGCACGTTTTTCTTAAATACACGCTCAAATTTTGAAAATACAAACACACAAATATGTGCAGTTATAGACCCAATACATATCCAATTAAATATGTATATATATATATATTTATACATATATATCCATATCAGAGTTTTTTAAAATAGGCAAAAAAAACACTCGAAACTCGTTCATAAACTTAAATCTAAAAAATCGAGTTTGTGGTGCAACGTACAATTCAAATACAGTTTTTAGTATTTTGAAGAAAATTGGAGTAAAAATCATTGCGAAATATCGGAGGATAACTTAGAGGAAATTTAATAAATTTTGATATAACTGCCATCGATTTTTCAGAAAAAACTGAAATAATTTATATTATTACGACAATACTCCCAGGTTCTCCCGTGAGCTCACCAAGTGCTGATCAACCACCAGAACTTGTACGACTGCGAGATGCTTCTGGTCCAGAGTGAACCGTAAGATGTCCTACTGGCTCTTAGCAAAGTCAAATTTTGTCACAATGGTAGTTATTCTGACTGGATACTCTTCAACAGGTTTACACGCGGTATGGCTAAATATTTTGTCGGTGGTTTGTTGCTTAAGTTGTTGTGTGGAGGAAGGTGGGGTCGAACTTCCTCTTCTATTGTCCGGCTTTTACCAGGATGAGATTGAAATATCTCGGTAGATACACCTTTATAGAATCTAGCAAAGTGGCTGCGATTGATATTAACCGCCTCAAAAAATTTGTTGTAAGCTCAAAACGCTTCGTCGATCTAAGAGGTTCTGGCGACCCACTTTTATCAGTTTATGGATAACACAAAGCACAAATATCTGGCCAACTGAGATCCATCGATTTTGGATCAATCCTACGACCTAACCTAATCTAACAATACTCTCAACTGTCAAAAATATTCTCTTGAAGTATACTTCTTGCGATCTCACCTTTTTGAGTGATAGAACACTACTAACATTCACTACAGCCATTTCATTCGCTTGATTCAATATCTTTTTCAACAAAAATACACATGTGTGTCAAATGAAGTTAAGATATCTCCAAAATTCGAGCTATGATCATTTATGGTAAATACAATAATATTTTATGACTCTAATGCTCTATGTCTCAGTGATTCACTAGTATAGCAGGATTGCTTGATTACAGCCTCCTAAAAATATATGTGTAAATATAGAATTTGGTATAAGGTTTAAATTATATAAATTATTAATTGTATTTAATTAATGTACAGTTATCCGTTGTTTCTTTTCCTCATATAAATCATTATAGGTATCAGTATATTTAATAAAATTTATATTCAAAACTTTCCCAAGAATATTTTAAAATAAAAGCCATAAATAACGGCACCGTAATAGAATTTCATATATGTCCATATGTATGTCTGAAAATAGATATTGGCAAGCAACAAAGCTCAGCGCATACCATATTCTACTATTGTTTGCATTTATTTATTGTTATTTTCCGATCTTTAGGCTTTAAAATATTTTACATAATTCACAAACTTGTTTCGCTGATTTATAGCTGATATAACAATAATAGTTTCCAGATAAAACCAACACGCCTTTTATGTTAATTAGGCAAAACGAAACGCGCCGCGCGGGGGAGCACAAATAAAACAATAGAAAAATCAAGAAAAATGGCAATGATTTGGCAAGAACAAAGTGAGCGCAACTATTAACAGGAAAAAAAACTTCAACAACTTACTGATACTATTTACAACAAAAAGAAACAAGTTTATACAGAAAAAAAAACAAGGATTATGGTCATAATAGTAAATCAAGCAACCAGTAAGCCAAGCGCAAGCCACAACAACCAATCAGCAGCGCGATAAAAACGCACACAACGAACTAAGTGAGCGCGCGTAATAAACTGGTGGCGTGCATGTGTATGTATGAACGAGTTGAGAGTGAGCGCGGCTGAAAGTCAAACAGCAATAAGCTTACGCGACGTAAGCACGCACGCAAGCAAACGTAAACGACGTAAGCTCAACTGCAAACTGTGGCGCTCTTCGCTCAGTTGCGCGCTGGCTTAAACAAAAAGTGGGAGTTGCCGTAGCGCGCCGCCACCGCAATGGCTTTAAATAATATGCGCGCGCGCGTTGAGTGTGTATGTGTGCGCACACATCGCTGAGTGGGTGTTAAAGTCACACACACATAAACACATGTGTGCGCAATACATATAAGTTGCTCGCTTCTTATTTGCTTGCAGTCTCGTCACACTAACGCGAACTGGTTTTTTTGAATTTGCATTTTCTTTTGCTGCGACCAGCGGTGCTTCTACTATTCAGCTCGCTAACTCAGTGTTTACTTCGTTATTGTTCGTCGTTCGCTACGCCGTTAAAGTTCTATTGCTAGCTTCTGGTGAATGCGCGCGCATGCTATAACAGTTAGTATTTGGTATTAAATATGTACGCGCGTATGCACAAACGACTGGATCGCTTAGCCGTCGCAGCGTAACGCACTTGCTTGGGGACTAGCGCTGTTTGAATTGAATTGGACTTGAACAGTGCGTGTGGTTCGCCGTCGTTATTTCGTGTTCACAACGCTTGAGTGCGCCATGATAAGCGCTTAAGTCGCGCGCCCGTCGGTAGAGGATTACTGGCGAACAAATCAAACAGACAAGCGAATGCGCGTGCGTTTTACGAGATTGGTGTGCGTTTTAATGTGCGTGTGTGTGTAGCAAATAGAAACTAATTCAGTTGAAAAGCCGTGCAAACAAATAAGAGTGTAATAACAAACAAACAAAAATACAAAGAAAAAAAAATAAAGAAAATTTGAGAAGCAGCAACAGCAACAACAAGAGCAGCGGCAAAAGTGGCAGTAGTTTTACATGTGGTTGGCTCAAAACTTCCGCCGCTGGCATTCTCCACTCACATACATTACCTGCCAATGCGCTGCTGACTGCTTTTCTTCGTCTCCTTCAACGGCTTGTTCTGCTGCTTTTTCTTCGTCTGCAGTTACGTTCATCGCTGTTCTGTTCTGTTTGTATGTATGTATGTACTTGCTCGCCTCTTTTACGCCAGTTAAAGGGTTCTCGCCGGTCTTATCGTTGCCGGTTCAGCGCTTTGGCTCTGCTTTTTGCTGGCAGCTTTGCTTTCTTCGCGCGTTCGTGTCGGTAGTGTGTGACGAGTTTTGAACGCAAGCAGTCGGTGTGCTGCGAACGCCGATTAGAACGATTCGAAAAATACAAATACATTTCGTGCACCGAAGTAGTATGCGCATTCGTGTTGCACTCAAAGGATCACATTTGTGCTGAGAGTGACAGAGTGATTGGTGTTGGCCAAAAGGAAAAGAAGCGGATTTGAGTTATGGCAAATAAAATGAGTGCCTTTAAGATAAGAACGTCTTGTGTTGACATTTAGCGAGTATGTAAAATCGTTTTGCCGTGCAGTGATAGCGGAAATACTAAGAAACGGTGCTTCGAGCAAAAAGTGTATGAATTAAATTATCCAAAATTTGAATAAAAGTTGGTAGAAAAATATTGTTAAAAAAAAAATATATATGAATAAGAAATATATATTTATATTTATATTAAGAAAAAAGCATTTATGTACATCAAATTATTGGTAAAAAAAAACTGTGCAAAAATATCGAATGTTGTGTTTGTGCTCCAAATGTAAGGTTACATAAGAATAAGAATAAGAAAAAAACAAAAACAAGTGCATATTCAAGTGCAAAGTTTAATGAAAAAATAATACAATGTGCATAAAGCAATACAAGTGATTTATAGGTAATTATAGGTGCTTATTCAATATATTGTTTTTTTACATATCTAAAATTTTGCTAAATGCTTCCAGTAATCTCACATTAAAATATAGTGAAAGTTTAAATTTTTAGGTTTGTTTTTTTGAAATGCGTTTAGTTTGTATTGCCTTTTAACGCCGCATTTTTGGGCTAATACGTTTTTTGATTTTACAAGTGTTGAAGAAATTAATGCAATTTTAATTACTGAAACGAAACAATATATAATTTTCTGCTAAGGATTGAAGCATTATTTGTTAAGAAATGTCTTTATTATAGACTCTGCTGTAATTTCCACTACAATAAATAATAGTCAAAGGCGTAATTTATACAAAATAAAATAACTTATTACTTATTTATGTGTTGTCATAAATATTTGAAAAATGGCATATATATGAAAATATATTTGTTTAATATTTAAAAAATGTATTATGTCAAAGCATTTTTAATGTATTTTAACCAGAACAGTATTTGCGAGTGAGCCTCACACTAAGCGATTTTGTTTCGCCGATATATTTTTCTTTAAAATTTTTCCTCTTAATTGAATAAAGCAATTGTTCCAAAAAATTGCGTTTCGTTTTTAAACTGCAAACTATTTATTGGAAAAAATCTCTTCTCTGAAAAATACAGCGCGCTTTTTAGCTTTCTTTCTATTTACATAAATATTTATAAAAAAATAGAAACTTCGAGTATGAAATAGGCGTGCGGAAATAATCTAAATTCAAAAGCAGTTTTTTTTTCATTTAAATATAAACTTGAAATTAAAAATTGATTTTTATTTTTTCAATACGGTATTTGTGATTAGAAATTTGAAATTTATTATACACTTGCAACATGTTGCTACAGAGTATAAAAGTTTGTTCACCTAACGATTGTTTGTATCACCTAAAAGTAATCGAGTAGTTACTGAGTTATGTGTATAAATGATTAGGATGACTAGACCGTCCGTTCATCTGTCCGTCCTTTCGTCCTTGCGAGCGATAAATTGAGTGACAATTGAGATATCTTGATGAAACTTGGTACAAATGTTCCCTGGAAAAATCTAAGGACGCGTTCGTAGATGGGCGTAATCGGACCATTGCCACGCCTACAAAATGCCAAAACTGTGATTTGGCACTTGTGACACTTGTAGGCTGAAAATTCCGAAAAAGTGGCTCCGATCTCTAGAGGTTTAATGTACGTAATTCCTAAACCTTTCAAGCTATTATAACCACATTCACTCTAAAATTACTAAAAAAATCAATAAATAAATACGTCAGAACATTAAATTTTGCACCAGAGATCATAAGAGAGGGCTTATAGGCACCACTGTCAAAATTTGACGATGGGCGTGTACTGCCCACATTTATCTAGAAACTTGCCTAACCGATTTCAATAAAATTCGGTGGTAGCATTATTCTGACAATTTTATGTCGAAATGTGGAAAAATCAGACTACAACCACGTCACCCTCTCATATAACACAATTTTAAATTCAATATGATTCTTTCACTTTCCAGTACACAAACTAAGCACCAATAAATGTATAGGGATACAATTTTGCTCAAATACATATTGCCTTTGAAGTGTGCCAGCTGATGATCAAAATTTCTCCAAATCGAACCAAACCTGCTCAAGGCCCCAGGTACCGAATATTTGAACCCCAGTTCCTATTGCGACATTTTTATCGAAAATATCAGTCAATCTGGCTGTTATATAATAGAAACTCAGAGGGAATCCTTATCTAATAATAATATGCCGGTGTGCCAAATAGGAATGGTTGAATAGGATCAATAAATTCTTTAGTCCCCATATACCTAATACAAATATTTTTCAACTTCCGGCTGACTTTATATCGCAAATATCGGTTAATATGTGAGTTATCTTTATGAAACTGTAAGTGCGATTTTTTTTAATAACAATGTAAGATACATTGTATACATATTTTGGATAAAATGGATAAAATCGGGTGAAAACTTGTCCTAGCGGCCATATATGTTAACTAATATCAGGTGGTACTTATAAATTCCTAATTTGTTTTTATGTCCCAAAATAATTAAATAAACATGTTTAGAAGAATTTCTGTTAATGAAATGGAACTATAATCGTAGTTTAAGATATAAGTTTACGTTTCTATCTTTTTTTTGTTTCCCCTTTAACTTTTGAATGAAGCTCCATACTTCATTAAGACGCTCTACCCAACTCAACTAATTAATAGTTCAATATGGGAAAAAATTAGCCCATCAAAATAAGTATATACTCGTATAATTTATCCAATTGATTGTTCTTGATAATTAAAAATAAAAATAAACTTAAAATATGGAACGTTTTTCGCTCCTAGGGTAGCTGAATGTAGTTAAATATGTTTTAAAATTTGCCACGAAGTTTGTAACACCAAGAAGGAATCGTCAGAGACCCTATAAACTATATACAGTGTGCTCAAAATATAACGTTTTTCTTTTGCATTAGAAAAATTAGTGTTCAGTATAAAAAAACGTTTTGAAGTAGTCTTTCTAACGAAACATCCTAAAGGTCACAAATGTACTATTAAAAACTACAAATCATTTAAAGACGAATTGTACAATTTGTGAAGAGGTGATCTCAGCATTATGGAGAAACTGAAATATAAATGCCAAGCCAGTATTCTACCTCTTCACGTGACATTTAAAAGTGAGGACAAAGCAATTGTTTAACTTTTTGAGAATATTTTGTTTAAAAAGGGATTAGATATATCTCTAAAGACATTACGGGACGGACTTCAGAGATCTGGAAACAAAAGCAGCAGTTTGCAATCAAACCCCTACTTTCAAAAATACAAAATGAAACAAGTAAGGAAGGGCTAATTTCATAAATAGATTACAATTAAATTTGATATCATATTAATTTATTTTAATGGTCGAATACTCACTTAGTTTTATTACTATATTTTACTTTCCGTCAGCGAAAACTATACTAAAATCATTGGGGGCTTAGAAGTCGAAGGCTGATTGCATTAACTTTTGACATTGCTCAGGTATACTTGAGAACTTATTTTCAAGCAATTTTGTAATTGTATATGTAAATCTAAACATATATATGAGGTAAAGTGAGCCGCAGGTTTCAAAATCGTTAATATGAGTTATATGGGGGCTAAAGTAAGTTTTAGTAAAGTAAAGTCAACTGGAAGTTCAAAATCTTTATATTAGGCTTATGGGGGTCAAGGGAAGTATTGACCTGATTTAAATCATTTGTGATACAAGGTTATATTATTTTCAAAGAAAAATTCTCTCCGAATTTCAATAATAATATGTCTCTCATACTGACATATTCGGTATGTGTGGGTTTGAAAATTTATATGCCGATTTTGAAAATTTTTAGAATTGAGATGGTATACCTCAAAGGCACTACATCAAAATTTAAAATTTTGATATATGGAAAGTATGCATGGTTGTAGTCCGATTTTCTCAACGTAACATAGCACTGTCAGGATAGTGTTATCTACCAAATTTGGTTGAAATTGTTTGAGTAGCTTGTTTAAGTGAATTCCCCTAAATGTGGACGGTGCTACGCCAAAGTCACATTTTTACCACGGCTCCAATAAAGTCTTCTTTTATAATCCTATATGTAAAATTTAATGTCTCTGGCGTATTTAGGTGTTGAATTAATAAAAAAAAAAAAAAATTATAAAAACAAAAAAAAATAAAAATGATAAAGCAAAAAAAAATTGCAATGATTGCAAGTGTATCTGCGATGCAGCCATTTCATTGAAAAACTGCAATTTATAATAATCATATAGAAGCTAAGTAAAACACCAAAAACAACAAGAATGTAAATCGCATTAACACCATGTAGGCGGCATTGCACAGAGCACAAGGCATTGAATGCTTTGATTTGATTGCAATTATATGCAACCAGTGCGATTTGCACACACACACACGCGTGAACACAACGAGTTCGCAGCTGGAGTCTTTTGTCAAAGGCGGCAGCCAAGTGAAGCCAACAATGCGGCAAGTGCAGTGAGTGCTGAATTACACACACATATGTGAACAAGTGAGCACTCATAAGTGCACATGTGGCTAAGTGTGTGCGTGTGCATAACTGTAGCTAATGTTGGTGTCAAACTGTTGACAGTGGCAATTGCAGGCAGTTAATGATCAATCAATCACTCGCTGTGGCCGCCGCTGCGCTGTGATAACTGAAGCTGCGCGCATGTTCCTGTGTGTGCGTGTGCTATGGGTTGCCGATGCGGGAACATGTGTGATATACATGCAAGTATATGTGGGCATGTGTGGAAGTTGTAAAGTAGCGACGGCGGCAGTAGCATCAAGCTGTGCGCGACGTCAAATGTAGTTAGTTGTAAGATTTTATGGCGAAAAAGTTGAAACATAGTATGAAATAAAAAAAAGCAGTGTAAATATAATGACTTAATCAATTAATGGGCGATGTAGACAATCAATCAAATTAAAAAAGAAATTGAAGTTTAAAACGAAGTCTAAAAGTATTTAAAGCATGGAAATGTTAATATAAAATAAAATTATTAAAAATTAATTATAAAATTTATTAAAAATAAAAATGTAAATTAATTTTTATTTAAAAATAGTTTGTGCAATTTAAACAAATAAGCAAAATTATTTTATAAGAATAATTAAAAGAAAGATTGGATAAAAAGAAAAAAGGTTTAAATGTAAAAAATTTTAAGTAATTTTTTTATAATTATAGATTAAGAAGTTATATTCACTTGTGAATTACAAAAATGTATTACTTGCTTTTGCCTACATGTCGAATATGCAAACACAAATTTGAGAACACTCTCAGAAAATTTCAAGTTGATTCGGCAAATAGTTTCGGAGATATGAGTGAATTTGTGAGACTTCATTAACTAAGTGTTACCGGCTTCCAAAGCTTTAGGTGCCTTTTTATCGAAACGCTGTTTTCAGAGTCAGTATGGAAAATATTTCCCGCGTGGTTGTACCGATTGACTTGAATCGACACGACTTTTTAAAAAAATTTGTCTGCTAATGATCGACGAATT